CTCTTCTCCAAGGTGTACGGGAAGCTGGTCTGCGGCGAGTGCCACAACGTCACCCAGAACCCGCTGGGGCGCTACCTCTGCCACAGCTGCCACTTCGACCTGGTGAGCACTGCTGGGCGCGGGGGCGTTTCCACCCGCCTTGCTGGTGGTCCTCGAAGGGTGGCCCAGGACGGGTGGCCCTGGGTGCTCGGGGCATGGCCCTTGCCCCTCTGACAGGCTCTTTCTTGCAGATGCACAGCAACGGCACGCTGTACTACAGCCACGTCCAGTGAGTGTCCCGGGTTGGCTTGCAACTCTTTGGGTTGGCTCATGGTTTCTCTGGGTGCTGCCTGGTCCCTAGGATGGCACTGCTGTGCCCACTAGCTCCCAAAGCTGGGCCACGCCGTGTCCCTCATTCTCCGTCTTGGGATGGCTGCCAGTGTCTCCCCAGCTCTGCAGGGTTGGGGCGAGCTACCGGGGTGTCCGAAGGGCTGAGCGCCGTGTCCCCGCAGGCCCCTGGTGTACACAGTGTCCCTGCTGCTCCCTGCCGCCTACCTCATCGGCCTCTTCTTCACCCTGAAAACTCACTCGCACATCTACGACATCCACATCAGTGACTGCCACAGTGAGCGCGGCCCGGCCAAGCCCTAGCTTGGCCTGACCCCCGCTCCCCTTCCCATGCTGGGAAGCCCCTGTGGGATTTCTGACCGCATCCCTGTTCTCATTCTCCCAACCACCAGTGCCTGGCCACCACCACAGCGCTGTGGTCCACTGGTCTCGGTGGAGGGCACTGGTCATCCTCCTGCTGTCCACCCTTTGCATGTCAGCCTGCGCTGACCTGGCCACAGAGCACATCAGCCCCATCCTCACCAACTCCACCATCTCCCAGGTGAGCGCGGTGGGGCCAAGAGCTGCCCTCAGGATTGGGAAGCGTGCCCCAGCCACGGGCAACCTTGCCCAACGGGGCCGGGAAGCTGAGAGTTGCTCCTCAGCGGGGAGGGGATGCTCCGCGCATGGCCAGGATGGTGCGCTGACACCTCCGCTTCCCCACCAGTACTTCATCGGGGTCACTGTGCTGGCCATGGTGCCCGAGCTGCCCGAAATTGTCAACGGCATCCAGTTTGCTCTGCAGAACAACCTGAGCTTGAGGTGAGCTGGTCCAAACGGACTGAGGTCGGGCCAGAGCCTGATGCTTTCCTCCCCAGGATGGTCCCCAGGCCAGGGCACGCAGCAACAGGCTGAGGCTTCCCTTGCTAGGCGGCAGTGAGCCCTGTGGCTGTGCTGCTTGGCCATGAGAGGACTTAAAATCACTGGAAAATGGGGCCAGAAGCAGGCTCTGCTCCTCTGGTTCCCAAAGATGGTTTCATCCTCACCCCGAGCTGGGCTGTTCTAGCTGGACTGACACTGCAGGTGGTACAAACTGCTGCTTAACCCGGCTGTGAAACAGCCACAACGCAGTGAAGTCCAGGATGCTCTGGTGGGACAACATCTTCCCTCTCCTCGGGTGCCCCGAGGGCTGCTGGGGCTCTCATCTCGCCCCTGGGTGTGATCCTTGGTGCTCCCGCAGCCAGAGATTTAGCACTTGGTGTCGTATGACCCCTCTGCTCCTTCCCAGCATTGAGATCGGGAACTGCATTGCTGTCCAAGTGTGCATGCTGCAGATACCCATCCTGGTGCTCTTCACCATCTTCTATGTAAGTGGTGCCCAGGAGAGCCCTGGGGGGGTACACGCCACGCTCATGTGCTTGCCCAGGCATGGCAAGGGCCCAGCCACTGTCCCAGTATCTCTGCTGGCTCAGCACCCTCTGCCCAGCCACAGCCACTTGCAGGGGGAAGTGGGCTCGGATATCTCCTCCCTTGGTTGATGCTGCCCCCATCCCGAAGGACATGTTGGGGAGGGGGAGGTTGGGAGAGGTGACATGCAAGTCTCTGGGCATAAACACAGTTCTTCTCTGCCTTGCAGCCCACCAACTTCACACTGGTCTTCAGTGACCTGCACGTCTATGCCAGCATGTTCAGTGTGGTTCTCATGAACTACATCTTCATGGATGGCAAGTGTGACTACTTCCAAGGTAATGTCCAGCCAGGAGGCTGCTGTGGGGCTCTAGATGTAGCCAGCTTCCCTGCAAGGATGAGGGGGAGCTCCTGGAGACAGCCCCAGGGTCACCCACTTACCATAGCTCCTGGCCCCTAGTGACTTGAGCCACTCCTGGGCTCTTGGTGACAATCCAGGTGGGGCTGGGCCAGAGCTGGAGCTGCCACCTTCCAACCAAATACAAGAGCAGGGCTTGGCTTGGGGTGGGAAAAGGGGGCAGCCCCCCAAGGGGGAAGTTTAAGTCCCTTTACCTCAGATTAGGCAGAAGAGCACGTGTGTCCTCAGGCACACTAATCCAAACTGCACTGGAACGGCTTAAATGCAACCTCCCTCCCCACTCCAGGCACCGTGCTGGTGATGGTCTACTTCATCCTCCTGGCTGTGTATTTCTTCGCACCTTCACCCAGTGGCTGCTGAGGCCTGGACTCGGCTTTCTCCAACCCTCCCGCTGGGTCGGCGCCTTGCAGGGCGCATCTCGTGTCTCAGGGACTTGGCTGGGCTGGCTCCAGTCTGGAAGAGTTGCTCGCGACGAGTCTGCCACTGTTGTCTCCTCCAGCTCCCGCGGTTGGGGGCGACCGGGACATCAGTGCTGGGAAAGGTGGTGGCAACGGGAGCACTCCTGCCAGAGCACTTCACAGAGGTATTTCCAGCACATGTTGTGTGTGGATGGAAGGAAAATGGTCCTTACTGGAGGGTCTTGAAGGAGGTTTCCATGTGGACTCGAGGACAGACCTTTCCCTGGGAAGTGTTGCACTGGGAGAAGGTGCCTGAGAAGAGCTTCTTGCCCTTCCAAGCTGAGGGTGATCCCTGCTTCCCCAGGGCCTGAACCCAGGCCTGGAAGGGACTCTGGCCCATGGGATCACACAAGGCTTCTGGATAGTACTAGAAATGCACCAAATGGTTTACTTTCAGCTGTTTTGTCATTAAAGCAGTTTTGTACAAACTAGAAACAAGTTCACTTCTTGTATGAGCCTTTAGTAGCCAGCTCCCCCTCTGTGTCTGCACTGCTAGCCGTGCTGGTGGCTGAGGGTTGCAGCAGGACCACACTAGGTAAGAAGCTCTCCAAACCCCTCAGGATGGAGCAGGCCTGCCTGCTCTGGGCCACCGTGGGCCTCCTGGCTCCTAGTGAGGCTGGGATGAGGCCCCTGGGTGCCCACCGGCAGGGTTAGTGATGGTCTTGGTGGTGGGACAGCCATTTGGTGCCCATCAAGGCTGACTCCTGTAGAGCAGGAGGTGGGGAGCAGCAGTGGCTTGGTTGGAGCAGTGTCTCTAGGAGCAGAGCAGGGAAGACCTACCACCACTGCGCTGGGTGGCTGTGGGCTTGAGCCCTCCCCATTACTGCCTGTGCCCCAGAGGAGGTGGGCTAGAGGGAAGGGCAGGCTGCAGGGGCAGCCGGAGTTGTGAACTCGCTTGTCCTCCCTTCCTGGCGCTCAGAGGTGGGGAGGAGAGAGCAGAAGTCGCTTAGTCTTCCTGCAGAACTATGAGCTGTGACTCACGTGTGCGTCAGGTGTGGTTGCATGCGCTACCACTGTGACTTTATGGTGACGTGGGCCTTCCATGCCTGGCCTCTCTGGGCTACTTTGGCCTCCCATGCCAAAGTGAAACTGGGAGAGCTTGCTTTTTCCCCCTCAGTCTTATCCTGGAAACCATCTCAGAATAGGGATTTTAATGCAGCCCTTCCACTTGAGCAGGTAAACCTGCATGCAGGGAGCTTCTGCACCATCTTGATGTCTAGCTGGGTAATCCCTAGACCCCCCTCCCTGCTCCTCCCAGAGGAAGCACTAATGCTAAGTGTGTTGCCACAACCTAGGTGAGCAGTAGTCTAAGGCAGTGGCTGAAGGGTGGGAGGAAATGCTGCAGGGAGGGGTGCCGTGAAGTACGGGCACCACCAGCTGCAGGACAGGCTCTGCGCCAACTCCTGGTCCTCCAGCACAGCCAGGCTGAGCTACCCCAGCCCCAGCATTGTGGCTGGAGACACCAAAATGGGCTCTGAGCTGTTTTCATCACTGGTACAGTTCAGGCTTGCTGGGTAAGAAGTACAAAAGCCCTCAGTCTCCTCTTCGTCTTCCAGACACGCTGTGGTTAGAGGACAAAGTGGGTGATCTGGATGGATTTATTGGTCAGAGCATTTAAAAAAAAAAAACCAAACCAAAAACCAAACATAAAGCAGCAAAGAACACTGATGGACACACAAATACAGGCAAGTACAGCTCTTTGGCCCCCTTCTCCCTCCCCAGCTCCCCGGGGCCGAACCTCGTCACAAAAAGCGGGGCAGGAAACGATGCTGACGCGTTACAACATGCACACTGGACTCCAAAGGAGCGGAAACAGGATGCGACTTCCAAACTAAAGTCAAGCAGACAGTGAGCAGCAGCCAGGCCCCCTCTCCTCTGCTGGGAGGAAGGATATCAGTTCATTAATAAGTAAAGACGTGGTCTTAGCAAGGTTTTTAGACTCTTCCCCCTGCTCCTTCCCTCTCCCAGTACAGCAGCATTACAGATGATGCTAGTTTTCATCCAGCTATTTGGGAATATTCCTGTGCAAGCATCAGGAGTTGGCCGATGGCAGCAAGACAGACTCAACAGCACAGGGCACCAGAGAGAGAACTTTTAAAAGAAAAAAAAAAATATATATATATATGGGGGGATGGGGACAGAGCAATGTGACAGCAGCTCTGCCTGTTCTCCTACAGCTCATCTGAGGCTCAATGGAAACCATCTACTGTGGGCTGAACGGGTGTGGGGGAAAGCTGGGCTTTCCTCCAGCACCAGCACCAGTCTGGGTGCTTCAGGCAGAAGGGAGCTGGCAGCACCGTGAGGAAGAGGAGGGGTAGGGCCCATGCTGCACTTCCCTTCGGCCCACCAGGGCCTGGTGCTGGTGGGCAGCAAGATGAGTTGAGCAGTGCCTACAGGTGTCTGCAAGGAGGGGAGCAGGGTGCTCCCTCGCCGAAATAACTTACATTTGTTTAATCCTAATGTTGTTTAGAAACCCTGGCAATGAAAGGACTAACGTTAAACTGTCTAGGAAAGAAAGAGGAAGCATATGAACTTGTGCGTAGAGGCTTAAGGAATGACTTAAAGAGTCATGTCTGTATCCTTTTTGCAATATGGCATTCATTTATGAATGGAAAAGGTTTTTTGGTTTTTTTTTGGGGGGGGGGGAAGGGGTGCTGTTTTGAAGGGAGAAGGGTGACTTCCAGCAAGGAGAAAGATTAGCATCTCCTTTTATCAGCAAAGCAAGGCACTGGCTGGACTGGTCTGAGCCCTGCTTCCCCGAGCTCATGGCACAGCTGTGTAAGAGAGGGCAGCCCGTGGCAGTGAGTGAGTGGTAAACTGGTACCGTGCAGGGACTTCAAGAGCCGCCTCATCCTGCCTGCTCTCCTCCCACCTCCACCAAGCCGAGCATGCTGCACTTCAAGCGCTGAAGCCAGAATTAAGAAGCAGTAGGACAGACATCAGTACAGAAGGAGGAAGAGGCCAGCTACATGCCCTGGCACCAGGCTGATGCCCCACCACCTTTCCTCTTCGCTTTGATCCTGCGTTAACACAACAGCGTTTATGCAGTCCCTCACAGAGAGATTTCCCCCATAAGGCCACTGGAGCAAGGAAGACAATCTTAAGGAAGCTGCCTGAGCAGAGATCCAGCGTGAGATGGTTTTAATATTGCCTTCAGAAGGGGAAAGAGCTCACCAACTTTAAGGTGGCAAAGGGGAGAATCAGCACATGCACTATCAAGCCATTCCAGTAAGAGCGTCCCAATGAAACTGGAGGTCAAAAGGCAAAGACTTGGTGTAGACATTCAGCCTCTGCAAGAGGAGATGAGAGCTGCTGAGTTAAGGCCAGAAGAGGGAGCTGGGGAGAACGTCCATCAACCCAACATCTCCCAAGAGCTTCCTGTAGACAAGGTCCAACGCAAGCACACCTTTTTTTTTCCCCAGTCAGGGGAAGAAGAGCAGGTGACAGAAGTGCCAAGCAGCCACGCTCACTGCTCCCACGTTTCCAAAGCCCAGAGCTGCCTGCAGAGCGCTGGCTCTGTGCGGCACCAGGAGCACTACCTGGGCTCGGCTCCCTGTGCCATCTCCATGCTGCGCTCTTACCCGTGACCAGGAACAGCGAGGTGCTGCAGCGAGCGCTGTTCAGAGCACTAGCCAGAGAGGCTAGGAAAAAGCTGAAATGCAATGGTATACCTTCCAGGGGCAATGGCTTTCTGCCGCACAGGCTCTTAGCTGGAAGCCAGCACAAACACAGAGACATCTGAGGCCATAATACGGCCTGGGCATGGGTCCTGAGAGCTACAGTCACTGTCCACTAGCTTTGCCCTACAGGTCCTGCAAAAGTACAATGAAAGGGGAAGGATGCAACCTAAAGCTACAAGCAGCAGCCACCAGTTTCTGAGGTCCCAAGGCACTGGAGGATGTGTTTCAGCTATGATGACCAACCTTTATTTTGCTAAGCCTTGAAAAAAAAAAGCAGCAAGATTACAATAAAAATGCACAAGAAAGAGATTCCCCAAGAACTGGGGAAGTTTAACATTAGGGACAAGCGCTAACACTGCAACTGAGCAGCAGGGCTGGGTGCACCCCAGGATGGATGGCAGCGACTCGATCTGCCTGTCACGTTCAGATTAACACCGTGAATTCAACTCTATGGTTTATTAAAACACAAATTCAGTTTTTTTAAAAGGAAGTAAAAGCTCAGAATCTAATTTGCCTTAGATGATGGAAGAGGAAGTACTAGGAAAAGCTGATGGGAAAAAAGGCACTTGAAATGATCTTCAACATAAAAGGATTTTGCGCAAACCTGACGCCAGCCCCGTGGAGCTGCTCAGAGCGCGATGGCCACTTACGCGTGTCCTCTAGAGCTAACTTCCCAGTATACAAAGCAGAGCAGGACAAGAGACAAAGAGCTATCCCTTCCTCTCCTGCACGTGTAGAGAGATGGACACTGCTTACAACAAGAGGAACAGATGTTATATTTCCTGGGATGAGTGATCCTTTAACTTCCGAAGACCCCCCAGAACCGCTCACAAAAACAGATTAAAACCACATGCACTGAAGCACCCTCCCCCAAAAGGAAGCAGCAGCTATCTAGAGAAAAGCCAATGCATGAAGCATGGAAAGGAAGGAAACAAAACGCTTACAGGTACACGTTATTAAGTTATACGCTGATAACCACCAGTACTCCCTTGGCATGGGTGCCTTGTACCCTGTACTTGGCTATGACACACCGCAAGTTAAAAGACTGCTTTAAAATATTAATCTAGGGGGTGAGTTTCCTCAGTCAGCTCTTTCAGAGTGCAACGTGAGCAGAAAGGGTTAAAAAAAAAAGATTCAGCAAAACTTTCCCCCTCCCCCCTCACCACCCAGAGTAAACTACACAGTAGTCCATTAAGTGGCATCTTTTACCCAGTCTTCCAAGCAAACCTTTCAATATGAAAAGGTGAGGAACACAGACACAGGTGTTTCAAATCACTGCACGCTGCACCAGAAAAGCTGCGCAGGCAAAGCTTCGCTCGCTGCCTCTGCGCGACGTTCCGGCCGTCTTCCAAAGCTCAAAGAGGATGGGAACATGCCCATGAAACGCATGCAAAGCCTTCAAGCGGCAAGAGTTCTTGTTTTTTAGAGAGGGAGAGCTCAGCTGGACGTTAAGGGGATTAGTGTCAGCCGAAACAAAAGAACGGGTTGGCTCTTGTTCTGCACTGAACCTCCTCTCAGTTAAATAAGTCTTGTGAAAATAGTACGTTGAATGCTACATATGTAAGCTCAGACATTCACTAAGCTTTCCTCCCCCCGCCCCCATTAAGTTGCAAGCATGTGCTGCCAACAGTTTGATGGTTGGATGTTATGGTTTAGTCCCGGAGAGCATTTCTCATTAGTAGTGTAATTAAGATCCATAAATAAAAAGCAGATTTCCAACAACTTGAAATAAAAATTTCTAGAATGACATCAATGTATTTGCTGAATAAGGCGTTGAGCAGGTTCTTCTATCTTCTTAGCAAGACCATCCCTGGTATCCATAAATAGAGGACTGGGGGACAGGGGAGGGAAGGGCTCTTGAACGTAGTGTTTCTTGGAGGGAAGGGCTCTTGAACGTAGTGTTTCTTGGAGGGACGTAGTGTTTCTTGGAGGGAAGGGCTCTTGAACGTAGAGTTTCTTGAATGGAAGTATGAGATGTTCTCATTTTAGTCTCTCAACAAGTCCCTGTGTCAGTCCAAGGTGCAAAAGCTGAGATCCGGAGAGAGTTGCTAGATGAGGGAAATACTCCAGGAGCTTCTCCCAGGACAGTTCCAGCAGGCTGGGTACCACCAGCCACATTTTAAACAGAGAGCCAGTCCGTTTGTTTTCATGGATGTTGACCACCCCTCCATGAACATACATACAGCCAGCCTAGGTGGGAAAAGGGGAACAGGGTTGTTACACACGGGCACAGGCAGAACATGCACACCAGAAGGTGTTGACCCACATTCCAGGACGCACGGTATGCCAGAGAGTGTCAGTACTAGGAAAAAACAGGAGTTTCTAATTCACCCTGGAGAATCACGCAGTGACATTCATCTCACACACCTCTGTATGTGCCTATGACACACGCGTCACCACCTGAGCCAGTCAGTCTGGGCTCTTTTCACAGCCAAGGGGAGGAATGATGTTGCTGAAGAGCATGTCTGTCTCATCCTAAAGCACGTATCCACCGGCCTCGAGCGCCCAGCTCAGACGGAGGCAGCTGTACTTTGTCACATGAGTTCTATCCCAAGGAACGTTTTAAGAGTGGGGCAAAGCGTTAATCAATTGTTACAGAACCACACTGAGATTTTAGCTAAAAGTAATGCATATTTCTAGATTAAAAACACACTGCATTCCCCCTGCTGGCTCCGCAGCACAACATAACCCTGCTCTAGGAAGTGCAGGAGACCAGGGAAACAAGAAAAGCTTAGCTGCTGGTCTATGGAGAGAGTGGCTTTTTTTTTTTTTAAGTATCAAGAAAAAGGAAGAGCATTCCCACTGTCCACGCACGCACCTGCAATCACTGACCTCCTTCTTGGAGAACGTGCTTACCAGGCTTACAGTTTCCTAGGAAGAGTTGCATTTAGAACAAACTATCTCCAACCTAGACGACAACTGCTGTTATAACTGTCCTCTCACACCGCCCAAGGCGGTGACTAGCGAAAGGAGGCGGAAGTCGCAGTTAAATGCGTTTCCTCCTGCCTGCTGCATATCAGCCACAAGTCTCTAAGCTCCTAGTTACTGCAAAAAGCACCAGCAATGGCAACCTTCCCATCAGCAGGGTTTTCCAAAGAGAGGGCTGCTCACCTGCTAATCTTTCAACCCAGGCTGTTCTCTGTAGGCCAAATCCATGACAGAAAAGGTTACTTGGGGTTGCTGTTTGTTCTTTCTTCTGTGAACAGGTACCGATGTTCACACATGGAATTACTGCTTAAAGCTAATGCAGTCTAAAAGTTAAATCCAGCATCACTGCTTTCTGAAAGCAGAATGTACTGTGTGCTACAGCTCCTCAAACAGCAGCAGGAGTAAAAGCCAATGCCATAACCTCACGTCAGCCCTCAGCCTCCCTCAAGCTGAGCATCCACTTGAGGTCAGTTCCTTGGTAACATCTGTTCAACTCTATTTGCAGCCCGCACAAACGTCAGAGTGCTGAGAATACATTCAGTGTAATGGCTTAAACTTCTGCTATACAGGAAAGAAATTAGTGACTTACTGGTGTGACAGCAGCACAGTGAAAATACACTGGTTCAGGCATGGCAGCTGGGAGCTTGACCCATTGGAAAGTTTGCAGATTCAGCTTCCAGACATCTCCCAGAATCACTTCTCCGTTATAGCCCCCGCAAACAAACACATCTGTAAGGAAGGGGAAACCCACAACCCTTACCAGCCCAGCAAAACGAACAGCCACTGTTCATCAGGAATTACAGAACATGCTGCGACTGAAGTCAGCAATCGTCCTTCTTGAACGATTTCAGGAGCAACCCCCATTTTACCTCAACACAAACTCTCAGTACCTCCCAAATCAGCATCAGAAAAGGTTCTCCTCCTGTTTATATCCACATAGCTTGCGATCCCAGCGTCACTATGGCAGGGGAGTGCTAAATGCCTTCAAGCAACAGTAAAATTCCTGCTTTAAGAAGCTGTATTAAGCCCTAACTAACCTGAGTTCAGAGGTGTTTGGGTTTGATTAGATTCTCGTGGTTTTAGACCCACAGGGATCAGCATTTACAGCCCAAATTCCAAACAAGAGGTGGACAGGTTTTGGCTCCCCTCTCAAGAGACGCTGGCTCTTAGTACTGCTGTGTGCCAGAAGCAGATCCTTACTCCTGCCTTCCCACAAGATCTCAACCTGGAGATCTGCACTGAAGCAAAATACTGCTGATGATGACTGGAAGCATCTCCAAAATCCTGCTTTATTTGTACTGGCACAATTAACACTACTGAAGAATACAACCTGGCCTATACACTGATACAGGGCTCAGCAAACTTTAACATCACAGAATCACAGAATGGTTTAGGTTGGAAGGGACCTCTGGAGATCATCCAGTCCCACCTCCCTGCTCAAGCAGGGTCCTCTAGAGCATATTTCCCAGGATCACGTCCAGGTAGGTTTTGAATATCTCCAGCGAAGGAGACTCCGCTACCTCTCTGGATGACCTGTTCCAGTGCTCTGTCACCCTCACAGGCAAGAAGTTTTTCCTCAGGTTTAGGTGGGACTTCCCGTGGTTCAGTTTCTGCCCGTTGCCTCTTGTCCTGTCGCTGGGCACCACGAAGAAGAGACTGGCCTCATCCTCTTGACACCCCCCCTTCAGATACTTATACACGTTGATGAGATCCCCTCTCAGTCTTCTCTTCTCCAGGCTGAACAGGCCCAGCTCTCAGCCTTTCTTCATAGGAGACTTTCTTCATAGGCTGCTCCAGTCCCCTACTCAGCTTTGTAGCCCTCCGCTGGACTCTCTCCAGTAGTGCCATGTCTCTCTTGTAGTGGGGAGCCCAGAATTGGGCACAGGACTCCAGGTGAGGCCTCCCCAGGGCTGAGGAGAGGGGCAGGATCACCTCCCTCCGCCTGCTGGCAACACTCTGCCTAAGGCACCCCAGGAGACCATTGGCCTTCTTGGCCACAAGGGCACACTGCTGGCTCCTGCTTAACTTGGTGTCCACCAGCACTCCCAGGTCCTTCTCCGCAGAGCTGCTTTCCAGCAGGTCAGCCCCCAGCCTGTCCTGGTGCCTGGGGTTATTCCTCCCCAGGGGCAGGACCCTGCGCTTG